CCTGACATGGTCGGTTGACAGCGACTCCTTTGGTAGTGATCACTACCCCATCTGGTTGCGCTACCAGGACGGAGCAGCTCTCGGTTCCAGGCCACAACGGTGGAATCTTACAAAGGCTAACTGGGATGAATTTCAGGCACGAGTCGAAACGAGGTTGGCTTCCGTTTCGGCGGATGTGCCCGCATCGATAGAGGAACTTACCTCCACAATCTTAAGATCGGCCGAAGAGAGCATACCACGTACATCCGGTACCCCACGTCGTCCCCCTGTTCCGTGGTGGACGGACCAGTGCCGCGACGCTATACGTGCGCGTAAAAAAGCCCTGCGAAACTTCGATCGACACAGCACTACGGAAAACTTAATCGCTTTTCGACGAGCTCGGGCGGCAGCCCGACGTACTATCGTGGAGGCCAAGCGCACGTCGTGGCGTTTACATGTGGGCCAGCTTTATTGCCAAACACCGACTTCGATGGTTTGGGCGCGTGTGAAACGTTTAGCAGGCCAACACTCCTCAGTGCCGCATCCCGTGCTTCATATGAATGGCCGGGACATACTGGACCCATCTAAGGTGGCGAACGAAATGGCTCGTGCGTTCGCGGAGCGTTGTGGGCTGACAACTGCCGCTCCTGATTTCATACGCCATCGTGCTCGTTGCGAAGTAGCCCAGATAAACTTTCATACAGCCGAAGAGTCGTCATATAACAAATCTTCCACAATGTTCGAACTGATGTCTGCCATTAACTCTCTGCGCAGCGTGGCGGAAGGCCCGGATTTCATTCATAATGATATGCTCCGGCGACTTCCACCAACAGCAACACAAGCTATGTTGGTGGCATTCAACCAGTTGTGGGAGACGGGAGAGTTCCCCACTTCTTGGCGGGAGTCGCTAATAGTTCCGTTGCTGAAACCTGGCAAGAATGGGAAGAATCCATCTGACTACCGTCCAATTGCGCTGACCTCATTTATGTGCAAACTCCTGGAGCGGATGGTTCAGACACGAGTGTCTTGGTTTTTAGAAAGCAACAATATCTTCTCGAACGCGCAGTGTGGTTTCAGGAAAAACCGTAGCACCATTGATCATCTTTTAGCCTTGGACTCAACTGTGCGCGTGTTTCTTAGGGAAAGGCGACATGTTGGAGCTGTGTTCTTCGATATTGAAAGGGCTTACGACACCACCTGGCGATATGGCATCTTACGGAAGCTGTATCCAGTATGGCATAGGCGGAGCTATGGGTAATCTTTCTTGCGAACTTTCTTGCTGACCGTTTCTTCCGCGTGCGTGTTGGTCCCGTATGCTCTAAAAGTTGCACCCAAAAGAACGGCATACCCCAGGGCAGTGTTCTAAGTGTTGCGTTGTTTGCCGTCATGATAAATGATGTTGGGGACAGTCCTCCCCAGGCGATTGGTCGCTCACTTTTTGTTGATGACCTCGCCATCTGGTGCAGCTCTGCCACGGCAGCGTCCATGTCGCGTCAGTTGCAGTTGGCTGTGGCTCGCTTAGAAAGATGGAGCGTGCTCAACGGGTTACGGTTTTCGACCTCGAAGACAGTTTCCATCCACTTTTGTCGACGCCGGCGTCAGTGTCCCGACATGGTGCTTAAGCTTTATGGACGGTCGATCCCCTGCAATACGGCGGCACGGTTTTGGGGATTACATTCTGATAAGCGTTTGACCTACAAGGAGCATCTTATCATTCTGCGTGACAAGTGTTTTAAGACACTGAACATACTGAAATGTGTGGCACGAACATCGTGCGTAGCAGATCGGAAAACACTTTTATTGTTATACCGTTCACTGATGCGCTCCAAGCTGGACTATGCGTGTTTTGTATATGATGGCGCCTCTGAGACCGTAAAACGTACATTGAATGCGGTCCATCATGCTGCGTTGAGAATCATTTCTGGTGCATTTCGTACGTCCCCGACAGCCAGCTTGCTTGTGGAAGCCAACGAACCTTCGTTGGCTACCCGAAGACAGTTGTTGGGGATGCGGTACGCTTGTAAGCTCGCGCAATTCCCGAACCACCCAACACATGACGCTGTGTTTTCACGCCACATGTCCAATGTTTTTTTTTCAGTCCGACCAAACAACACGTGTGGCGCCGTTCTGTGTGCGTGTTCGTAATGTTATTTTTGAGAGTGGCTTAAGTTTTCGGGGTGTGGCACGCCCACGTAGCCTGCCGACCGCTCCGTGGGTAATAGTATCGCCAACTGTCGACGTCTCATTGTCGGCGGTTCAGAAGCGAAATATGATTCCGTACGTTGCCAGATCAGCAGCTTTGAAGCATATCGAAACATATGGGGGTTTACAATTACGTATACAGACGGCTCGAAAACGGATACGGGTGTTGGTTCCGCTTTTGTGTGTGGTCCCGATACGCGATCATTTACACTGCCATCCCATGCGTCCGTGTATACTGCAGAGCTTGTGGCCATCATTAAGGCGCTTTGCTTTATAGAGGTGGGCGAAGACAGTCTGCACGTGATTTTATCGGATTCCCTAAGTGCCCTTTCGGCACTAAGGCGTTTTAACCCGGTAAATCCCCTTATACAGGATATTTTACTGCGTCTCGACTCTCTGTACCGAGCTGGCAAGACCATAGTACTTTGCTGGATTCCGAGCCACGTTGACATTGCGTGAAATGAGCTGGCTGACTCTGCTGCAAAGCGTGCTACTCGTCGTCCCTGTCGCAAAGCGTTTCCGATACCCGCTACAGACCTGAACTCGGCCATCCCTGCCTTTTTGCGCGGGGAGTGGCAGAACACATGGGATGCGATGGGCACCACTAAACTGAAAAACATCAAGCTGATTGTTCAGGAATAGCAGTCATTCTATCGAAAGTCTAGACGGGAGGAAGTAATCCTGTGTCGCTTGCGGATTGGCTATACTTATGTTACACACCGATACCTACCATGTCACGACGAACTACCACGATGTCGCCACTGCAACACCACGCTCACAGTGAAACATGTGCTTATATGTCGTCCCATACTACGCGTCGAGCGTCTGAGGTTCTTTGGCCCGGCGGCGCCGTCCCTGACGCCCTCCGATTTACTAGGCGACAGCTCACCACATATCCAACATACCCTCAAGTTCATATCGCATGTTAAGTCCTGCACTTTATATACACCTGCCTGAATAGTTTATACCACGTGTAGGAAGTTTTTAGGTTGCCGAAAGCTTCGTATCAATGACGCGTTCCTGACACAAATCAGCCATTCTTATTTCCGAATAATATATATTTTTTAGTCATTTACCGCCGTAGGTAGCCATTTTGCTGTTATGGGCGCAAAATGACCACAGTAGTCGACACGCCCTAAAACTCCAATCAACAACAACAACACACACACACACACACACACACACACACACACACACACACACACACTCTGGCTCCCTTACTCACACACATATATTTCGAACGGCGTTACATGTTTTAATATCTCGAAGTCACTCATCCTCAGCCTGAAATTCTGACTATTGACTCGAATCTTGTTTTACTGCCGTTTTCTGTCACAGCGCCGCTTTGGCGAGCTGGAGTGTGCTAAGCCCACCCATACCATGGGAGCACTTCAACGACGCGTCCGCGATCAGCTCCATGACCAGCGTATACCCTGCACGAGCGAGATTGGCCGTCTGGGATGAGTAACACCGCTGTGCCGGTCCGCCGCCCATCCCGCACGAGCGCGGCCGGCATGGAGAGCGGCCGCTTCTGGCCGGCGGCGGGCCGGCACGGCGCGTGATGTCCCAAGGGCCCGATACTGGCACGGCCTCGGCGCACCGAACCTCGTCGCACTCCCGTCACATGCGCTGCATGACAACCTACGGACAATGTAACGCTGAGCACGGGGCTACTGCAGTGGCAGAGCGCCTTCGCCCCCTGGCAGACGGCTACTTCGCGGCTGAGGGTCCGGGGCTGCATCACCCCGGCTTCGAGAACTGACGGCCAGGTCAGGCTCCAGACAATGGGTATCTGGACCGTGGACCTACGACGCCCGCCTCCGAACGCCAAATAAACAGGCGTCGGGCGGCGCTGACCGTTGGGCGCCGCACGGCTAGCCAACGGCAGTGCCAAATAAACAGGCGCACGGCGTCGCTGACCGTTGGGCGCCGCACGGCTAGCCAACGGCAGTGCCAAATAAACAGGCGTCGGGCGACGCTGACCGTTGGGCGCCGCACGGCTAGCCAACGGCAATGCCAAATAAACAGGCGTCGGGCGACGCTGACCGTTGGGCGCCGCACGGCTAGCCAACGGCAGTGCCAAATAAATAGGCGCACGGCGTCGCTGACCGTTGGGCGCCGCACGGCTAGCCAACGGCAGTGCCAAATAAATAGGCGCACGGCGTCGCTGACCGTTGGGCGCCGCACGGCTAGCCAATGGCAGTGCCAAATGCGCGCATTTGGAACCGCTCCGTCATCCTATCGCGCTTGTCTCCAACCCGTGCACTCCTGGTAGCGCGAGGCGGCACACCCACGATAGGTGGTACGTATATTTGATGGGCAACCCCTCGACACGCACCCCCGCGCCGCCCACAGCCATACACAGGAGCGGCGCCGCCTGCGGGTACACCGCGGCCCGGCGGAGGTCCGGGTCGACCCAGTCTGGTCCACGTGGCCCGTCGTCGCGTCAGCTTACACCACTCGGCGCGTGCCGGACCGGCCACAGGCGGCGGGCATGCTCCATACTGCCGGCAACATTAGTCGATAGCTGCACTAGCCACATCCCACACACGGAAATATAGAATCTGGTTTAGGGCACCTTTTTAACTGTCCCACGTGGACAGAAAACGCGAGCTTAAGTGCACTGTGCGTGAACAAGATCACGAGCTGTCGCGCAACGGCGGACTGACCTGCCGAGCCACTAGTGGCGACATCCACCTGCCAGACCAGAAAGCAGAGGTGTGCCCATCGGTCACACAACGGCGCACTGCACTGGATGGACGACGAAGTAAGATACATTCCACGCACTGTGCCCCCCTCCCCCCCCCCCCCCCCATAGCAGCACCCGTTGACGTCGACAGCCGCCGCGCTTCGCGAGCCTGGAGGGCGCCAAGACGGGACAATCAAAGGCAAACACTGGAAAACCCGACTATAAACTACATTCATGCTACCTTGCTTAGATCGAAGACATTTTGCGACATTTCCGGGAAAAAGACGCAGCATACTAATAGTTGGTAAATACTGACTTGAGCAGTCGGACCGCAGACGAGACGCACTGCTCTATTACAACTAGGTTTCAACCCTGGCCGCGGATGCAGACAACCCTAACTAGGCATATTGTACATGAATCAAAGCCATTCGAATGGATGGCACACAGGAACGAATCTTACGTGACTACACTTGGTATTGCATGAAGCACCGGTATGAAAATAAGTAGATTATCTTAGACTAGCCATATCACTTAACGGATAACCTCACACGCACTCTTATTGAACAGGCGTAACGCAGCGAATTTAGATCGAGCTCGTAAATTTGAACTCTAGTTGTACTCCGCCCAGAGGAAGCCGGCGTTGGATCGAAGCGCGTCAGTTACTATATACAACATCGGGCGATGATCAACGATCATATCATGCCAATGAATAAGACAAAGAGAAAGCACAGCTCGCATGACAAACGGTCCCACAAAACATCACGGAACAATGCCACTGCTTTTTCAGATGCTACACTGTTAAGTCTGATTCAGCTTAAACAACCAATGCATTCTCCACTTCCGCACAAAGACTTAGCACCAGGAATGCCGACAGCGAGGTTGCCGTACATATCTGACCCGTAGTCACCTACCATTACTGCGCAGCATCACAGCGACAGCGGCAAAAGGCACTATCACGCGGCAGGCCAGCCGCCCCTATCGCTGACACACCATGCATTCCCATTCAGCGGCACGCTCCACCCAGCCTCTCTTCTAACCTACGCGCACACGCTCTAGCCGTTACGCGATGTTGTGCGCAGGTGCACCCGTGTCCGACTGCGGGAGCCGAACCTAGTCTAGGCTGTCGCGGCTAGCTGTTGAACCGATCACAGGAGTTTATCACTGGCCCCGGCGCGTCACGGCCGCGGCGGCCGGCCGTCCGCCGTCCGCTTGGTCGGGTCGAGCGGCACCATCTCGATGCCGGCCTGCTCCGGGAACAGGTCCTTGTACGCGGGCGGCGACTGCAGGCCAGCGTCGTGCGAGCCCAGGTCGCGCACCACGCTATCGTAGCTGGGCAGCGGTGAGAGGTGCTGCCGCTCGGCCGGCGCCGGCCCGCCGCTCGACGACGTCGGCCCGCTGCCGGCCGGCGACCTGGCGCACACGGAAACTGTCAGCGGGCACCTGACGGCGGGGGTGTGACGGATGTGAGGGACGACCTGGGGTTCAATAAATATGAGTGAGGATCCGGCAGACCACACGAGTTTGAGTGGGGGCCTGGTGCTGCGAAGAGCATGAGCGATATCAGCTGATGGGAGAAGTCTGACGATGGGCACGAGAGGTGGAACAATTGGACTGCTACACCACTCCCCGACAGATTATTTCCGCTCAACTCCCTGCCCCACACCGCGTTTTTGAGCTAGTGGTATTCTAGCACTGGCAATGACACTGTCCCCACCAAGGAAGCTCTGACTATGACACTGCTGCGGACATTGCCCCGCACCTGACACTCCCCACGACTGAACTACATTTGTCGTCCCAGTATGACATTGCCCCGCACCTGACACTCCCCGAGACTGAACTACATTCGTCGTCCCAGTCTGACATTGCCCCGCACCTGACACTCACCGAGACTGAACTACATTTGTCGTCCCAGTCTGACATTGCCCCGCACCTGACACTCCCCGAGACTGAACTACATTTGTCGTCCCAGTCCGACATTGCCCCGCACCTGACACTCCCCAAGACTGAACTACATTTGTCGTCCCAGTATGACACTGCCCCCCACCTGACACTCCCCAAGACTGAACTACATTTGTCGTCCCAGTCTGACATTGCCCCGCACCTGACACTCCCCGAGACTGAACTACATTTGTCGTCCCAGTCCGACATTGCCCCGCACCTGACACTCCCCAAGACTGAACTACATTTGTCGTCCCAGTCTGACATTGCCCCGCACCTGACACTCCCCGAGACTGAACTACATTCGTCGTCCCAGTCTGACATTGCCCCGCACCTGACACTCCCCAAGACTGAACTACATTTGTCGTCCCAGTCTGACATTGCCCCGCACCTGACACTCCCCGAGACTGAGCTACATTTGTCGTCCCAGTCTGGCATTGCCCCGCACCTGGCACTCCCCAAGACTGAACTACATTTGTCGTCCCAGTATGACATTGCCCCGCACCTGACACTCCCCAAGACTGAACTACATTTGTCGTCCCAGTCTGACATTGCCCCGCACCTGACACTCCCCGAGACTGAACTACATTTGTCGTCCCAGTCTGACATTGCCCCGCACCTGACACTCCCCGAGACTGAACTACATTTGTCGTCCCAGTCTGACATTGCCCCGCACCCGACACTCCCCGAGACTGAACTACATTTGTCGTCCCAGTCTGACATTGCCCCGCACCCGACACTCCCCGAGACTGAACTACATTTGTCGTCCCAGTCTGACATTGCCCCGCACCTGACACTCCCCAAGACTGAACTACATTTGTCGTCCCAGTCTGACATTGCCCCGCACCTGACACTCCCCGAGACTGAACTACATTTGTCGTCCCAGTCTGACACTGCCCCGCACCTGACACTCCCCAAGACTGAACTACATTTGTCGTCCCAGTCTGACATTGCCCCGCACCTGACACTCCCCGAGACTGAACTACATTTGTCGTCACAGTCTGACATTGCCCCGCACCTGACACTCCCCAAGACTGAACTACATTTGTCGTCCCAGTCTGACATTGCCCCGCACCTGACACTCCCCGAGACTGAACTACATTTGTCGTCCCAGTCTGACACTGCCCCGCACCTGACACTCCCCAAGACTGAACTACATTTGTCGTCCCAGTCTGACATTGCCCCGCACCCGACACTCCCCGAGACTGAACTACATTTGTCGTCCCAGTCTGACATTACTCCCGCGATGACCCTCCCATGGCCCGGCCGCCGCCGCTGGCACGGCGGCACTGTGCCACCACTGACCTGCTGTTGCCGAACCAGAGCCGGAGCTGGCCGCTGCCGGCCGCCGGGGCCGGCCCCGCCCAGCAGCGCATGGCGCACGATATCAGGCAGCAGATGAACACGGCCAGCGTCAGCACCAGCGTCACCCAAATGAAGGTGTGCGTCGACATGGCACTGTCCACGTGCCAGACGTCCTCTGCCGGGCCGAGCGCCGGTCAAACGTCACCGGAGGCCCGTCTGGGCATCCGACCGACGCACCACAGCCCACCGCAGGGCCGGCGGCAACTGCGCTGATCGTCGCGCGCCCAGAAACTTTTCCATAAGTGGGAAAATTCCCCCTCGCTTGCCGTCACCGCGCGGGACACCGCGTGGGCGTGCGAGCCGTGGCGTGCTCACGCAGCGCAGCATTTGACAGTGGCTGTGGGCCCCACGTAGAGCCTAGAATGACGGCGGAGGCGGCGACAAGCGACCGGTGGGTCAGCCGGAGCGGTGGCTCGAGGCGGCCGACCGGGAGGTCGCTGGCCCCTCAGCGACAGGCGAGAGATCGCTGACCCCTCCCAGCGACAGGTGAGACGCCGGGACTGTTATCAGGTGCAGCGGTCCGTCCCTTTGTTTGACGACCGCCGATAGTGATGCATGTGGAGCAGCAGCCCGCGCAGTGATGCGACAGGCCGAGTGTCCCGGCTGTCGGCGCACACCAGCTGATCGATGGTGCTGTGGCGGCGCTGTGGCTAGACCTTTTGCGCATGGACCGGGTAAATAGTGTCACGTAATTCATGGACCGATAGCGTGCTACGCTAGCGTTCTTGCTAGCGTGAACCAGTTTAACGCTCGAAACATCGGAAACATAGAGTGGATTGTAGCTGCTGCTTTCACGCCATAAGTCCTGGTCTAATCATACATCGAGCTAGCAAAAAAGAAAGGAAAAAAGAATAGGGTAGCTCGTAGCGTATTCTTCTGCGGGCAAGTACGGTGAGACTCCAGCGTTCGCTACGAGATGGCAGGTATTGCCGAGAACGGGACTACTCACCACCGCATCCCTGCTCATCCACCCCGCTGCTGGGGAAGCCGCAGTTGATGAAGCTGTCGCAGCGCAACGAATCGGCAATGCAGAAGCTGATGGACTCGACGCCGCATCGGATGTACTTATCGGGGCAGGAGCCGTCTGAGGGTCACAACACCATGTGGTCAGATCACGAGGCCACGATGACCGTCGCGGTCACAAGCGGACGTGTGCACTACAAGCCAGTATTTGACGCGGAGAGGGCTGCCCAATGTACAGGGGAACGCCGGTAAGGCGAAACAGCACTCGACAGCAGAGGCAGCGCCGTTCAGCCTGCGAGGCCAACCAATCACAACAGGCTTGTCGCTGTTGCCAGAGGACAACGGCGCCTTCTGGGGTGGGGACAGTTTCGTGCACTGCCCCTCCGGTCCCCCTCCGCTTCTGCGGCGACACCCCCGTTCATCACCATGCTCGCCTCTCTAGCGCTGGGAAGCTCCCGGCGGTCCGCCCGCCCGCCCGAGCAGTGACGGACGGAGGGTGTCGGTGCGCGCTGGGTCCGCTCCCGGTGCGTTGAGCACGAATGCAGATCTCTATAGCCGACGGTAACCCAGCTACATGACCGAACCCCTCCCCCCCCCCCCCCCCAACGGGACTTGACAGGAAGCATGACCCGGCGAGTCCGCGAGTCGAGCCTCTCCGAGCGAGGGCGGCACGGCCCGGGCCAGTCGGCCGGCGCCGCGCCGGTCCGGTTCTGCCAAGCTGCTCGGCTGGTATCTGGCCGTCGGCCGCAACATGCGATCCCACGTCGGTCGGCCCCACGCTGCGCCCCAGGCACGAGTCGGGCGGCCGCGAAGGTCACACTCGCAATCCCGCGTCAGGGAGGACAGCGCGGCAATCGCGCGCCTGCACCGGCCACAGCATCTCGCGGCTGCTCATAGGCGCGGAGTCAACAGACAAGCGTTTGTTTCTATCTGGAGCGGCGAACCGGCTACGTGGAGCAAACAGCGTAGAATAAGCTGGCCATGGGTGAAGTTTTCCATCGACTTCGGAGAACTTCAACTCCCATGTTTATAAACGGTGCCACGTAGTTTGACAGGCGTGGCATGAGACAACGGACTTGTGATCATAATATGCTCCGCAAGCTGCAGCGATTTTGAAACAACAACCTCTGACCCAGTTCTGGACGCCACGGTAACTCATGCGGTGGTGGGGAGGTCTGTCTGCCCCGCAGTGACAGACAGACCTCCTTCCTCTGACCATCACAGTGATCTTTGGAGGGGAGGAGGGTCTGTTTGTCCCGTGATGTGACCGTCACGGCAATCTTTGGAGGGGGGGGGGGGTCTATCTGTCTCGCGATGTGACCGTCACGGGCCAGTAGTGACAGTCACAGCGATCTTTGGAAGGGGGGGGGGGGGTCTGTCTGTCCCGCGATGTGACCGTCACGGGCCGGGTGTGACAGTCATGGCGAGCTGCGGGGAAGGGTGGGGAGGTCTGTTTACTCCGAGATGTGACCGACACGGTGGTCTGCGGGAGGAGGTGGCAAGATCTGTTCGTGCCGCGGTGTGACCGACACGGGCCGGGCATGACGACGCGTAAGCCGATCGCCGGACACGTGACCTGACAACCGGCCAAAGCTCAATGCCGTCTGGCCGCGGCGCATGCCGAGGCCGGCGGGCCACCGGCGCCGGGCTGCGGGGTCAGCGGCACGCCCAGGGCGTCAGGGGGCCGGGCACCACAACCGTAGGCGGAGACAGCCGCTGCACAGCCCGCCATGACGCCGCAGGCCGCGCGTCGCGTCACCGTCGCCTCCCAGCACCCTGGAAATACCCGGTCCGCTCCATACCGCAGCGCAGCGCACGAAAGCGGGACCGGCGGCGCCGCAGCCCACCGGCGACTCCGGGAGCGGCTGGCAGCCAGGTCTCCGCTCGCCGCCGCCAGCTGTGTCGGTGCCGCTGCGGCCAGACCGCGCCGCCGGTCTTCACCCACTGACCCAGCGCCGACCGTACCCGCCGGCTCGTCACTCACTGGTGCTCTTGAAGGCCGTGGCGACAATGGTGAACTCCTTGTCGCGGTTGTTTTCCTCGCCGCTGCGGTACCTGAACTCAATCTTGTTCTTCAGCGTATAGAAAATGTTGGCCGTCTTGCCGACGTGGTAGAGCTCGGGCCGCGGGATGTCCACCTGCGGGCAGATCGCACCAGGGTCACTGGAGGTCGCCCAAGGAGCCGCGAACTTCCACGGCGTCACAAGCGCGCGGGCGTGGAGGCTGGCCGACTCCTACGCTGCAGATTATCACACAATGCGCGCCGAGCGACGCCCGCAGACGGACTGCTGTCAGTACGGCGACAGGGCCAGCACGTGCTTATGTATGATAAGTGCAGCTATGACATTCTGCACGACCCAACAAGGGGCAGCAACAGTGACTGAGCTGGGATGGAGAATATTACAAAACTGAACACAACAGGCATCCAGCTTTTTTAGCTTCATGACAAGTCAACCGACACGGAGGATCTAGACTGGAAGATCTTCACATCCAAAAAATTAAAGAACTTCGGCGTCAGTTCGAATTAGACATGTGGCAGCACGTCCAACACTCCATTGATTCACGTGGCGTTTTCCTTTTCGCTAAGAGTTCTGTCTGCACGCTATTGTAATTATGCACATTGCAACCTTAACACGGGCCCAATGTGAGTTGAGTGGAACCTAGCGGTGATTTTACTGTGGAAGGGCTTTGGGAATAGCCGCCCGGCCCAAGATTTCGCGCAAAAACGACAAAATTCTAGATGCTGTGGATCGCTTTGGATAGAAAGAGTATTCTTCGGAAGCTACGGAGGCACACCAACGGCTGCGCATGTACGGCATGCACATCAGTCCGAGGCTGGGCTTAGGTGTTAGCTGGCCTGGAAATCAGTTGCCGGCATTCGACGCCCCGGCCGCCCCGGCTCAATGTCGGACGCCTCTGGTCCGCAGTGTCAAGATACACTACGCAGCGTAGCGTGTGTCCGCCCCGTAGCTCTGTTGGTTAGAACGTCCACAATGAGACTCGCTTGTCAGTAGCGGGATCGGTTCGAGTCGCTTTAGCCGCTTCCTACTTGCCTCCTGACTGGGATAGCCTACGACCGGTGGTAGCGGTCACGCTAAAGGTCAAGTGACGTCAGAGGACAGGATGAACCGTGCGAGCACTGCGGCACGTTACGCTTTCACCACAAAACTGTGCCGTGGGCCAGGAATTTCGCAGTCGGAGGACGCAGTCAGGGCTCACGCAACAAACAACGCTTAGCGTCGGCGCTGATCCCAGAAGTCTAGAACGTTCGGTATGTATCACTGTCATTACCCCAAATAAAATAAGTGTTTCCTTCCCCCCCCCCCCCCCCCCCATCCCTCCGTGGAGGCCATCGGCGTGACAGTTTGTAACGTCTGCCGCGAAGCAACTGACCGATGCATCTGCACCTGATTCGGACGCGTGCTCCGGCTGGGCGATCCACGTATCGAACGCATGCTCCGGCTGGGTGATCCACGTATCGCGTGTGCGTTTAATGCACTTACGATGCGCGAGACGGCTTACGCGTGCGAGTTTTTGTCTGAAGCAGCGTTCCCTTCGGTGGCTGGCGACTTTCTGGCGCCCTGACGTGCGCGGGTGTTCCCAAAATCGGGCATTGTAAGCCATTTTGTGCCAACAAAGTTACTTTCATGAACGAAATTTATCGGACGCACAAGCCGACAAATGCAACGAATACACCAAGGAAACGAAAACTGCATGTACATTTTATGTCAGCGCAGAACAGTCTGAAGGTCGAGTGCCCGCAACCTTTCCTTTACCCAATTCTCCTGACATCCATGGGCTGTATCCATACCCACCCGCCATCCAATGCTCACCAGTTATATGCAGTTATATTATATTATATAGGCAGCGGTTAACGCAGACGTGTTAACCATCTACACTACCGGCATCCCACTACCCACCCGTTTCCGTTTCTCAGCAACTTAGTTTTAAAATAAAGAATTACTTTCCGGGCGTTTACACCCACAGTTGCTGTCTGTGTTGAAAACTGGAGTAATGTGGATGTAGCTAATTATCGCAAAAAGTGCAATCGGTAACAACATTCAACCATTCGGAAAAAGAACGGTGATTTCCTAAATTCCCATAACCGAACCCATAAACGTAATTTTTCACAAAATATGTACCCTGTCCCTTAAGTACTCTACTGGCATTCCTCAGCGCATTGGACATTCACGCGTCTGCATTCGGCAGCCGGAGGTAGCAGCTATACGGGAACCAATCAATTCCATTGAGGCAAGTGGATGTGCCGTACCGCTACATATAGGAGCTGTGCGCCTCTTAGCAGCATGCTGCCACAAGCAGCACACAAAGTGTGTTTGAGTGTATGCTTGTGTGGGTGGGGTCACTTTAAATACGCTGTTACCAAGCGTCACCGAAAAGGTAGAATGACCATGAAAAGTCGCCCTCCCCCCCCCTTCCCCATCCCCGCCTACGTTGGCGCAGTCAGTGTTGTATCCTACGCCCCTGATCGAAGCACGTAGGAACTAGCTTGTCCGGCGAATATTACACCTGACGCTCATAGATATTTCCTTTCCAAAGCCTGTGTGTAACGACACACACACGCACGGTCGGCCGTATGTTGCCAGCTAGGGTACGCAATGTTTCACACGACAGATGGCTCTGATTGCTGATACGTCTCTCTCGTAACGCTACGATACAAAGCCCTGAGTCCAACTGAGAAATGCATCGATATTCTGCACCCGTTGCGTCGAAATAATACTTTTGCAATCGTGATTGCCTCTCCGCTCAGACGCAATGCAGTTGGAAGCGGTTCAGCTAAGCTCGAGTTCCTTATGGGGAGGTGCCCAAGTCCACTGAGCCGTAAGGACGGCCGGGGTCAGCGGCAGGTCACTAACCTTGTAATTCTGCCGGCAGATGACGTCACTCTTGTCGGCGAAGCTGTCCGAGACCTTGGCCAGCGCCTTGGCCAGGAACGAGTCCCATTTGCGGAAGAACTGTCGCAGAGCGACGTCGTGTGAGATGCGATTTCGTCATGGTGCGGCGACAGGACCAGCGATTGTCGCTGCGCCACTAAGGCGCCCAGCAAGCACGACATAAATCACGGTTGTTTGACGAACACAGCGCCCGCCTCTCATGGAGTTAAGAGTTACACTAGAACCACATTTCAGTGCAATAAGCCACCGACGCCACTTCGACACTCGTAATGGTCTACTAGAACCACAAGTCCGATGGCGTGGCGTGGTGGCAAGACTCGTCACCCTGTAAGTGCAGACGATACAACAGAAAACTGGTGGATTGTTATTAATGATCACGCCAATCCCGTAGGTCCGGGCGCCCGGCTCGACTCACTGATGACCACCTCACCTGGACGTAGTCGTGACAGGAGATGGAGCCGGTGAACTCATTGCGGCGGAAGTTCAAGTGCATGCTGTTGATAGTCATGCTGACGCCGTAGCCGCGCGGAGCATGGATCTTCAGATCGCATCGCTGCACCTGCAGAAGCATCACACAGTCACCAGGGCACTGGCGGGGATGCCACATTGTCGTCCTAAGAAACACAGTGACAGCATCACCAAGGACAGACACTGGCTTAAATGGTTGCCTGCCCAAAGCTGGCACAAACTGACACGTCACGGAGGAACGACAGACTCTCTGTATTTAATGCATGCCTCCATTACTGGGCACTCCTCAGGAGCCTGCACACTCCTAGTGCTGCCAGCCCAAGCCCCAATGTGCTCCTCGGAACACCAGTGCCACTACAGCATTCGTTCAGCCCCACTCGGGCAGCCAGGTAGCAACAGGTCGCATTTCTAGTCTCCCGGTGTCGTCTGTTGGTTGGTGTTGGCTGTCGGTTCCATACAATGCCCCGAGGGTGGGGCGCTGCTGACTGGGGGGCTCAGTGTGCCAGCCACTCTCAAGCTTTCTTTCCAGCTGGCCTGTTTTTGGTAAACTTCATTTGCATGCAAAGGATGTAACATGACATTTTCCATGCTCTGTTTTACAATCAATTCAGCTGACAGACACAATGTGCAATGTGTGCACATCCAAGCTATTGCATAACTATGACTACAGTTTTATGGTGCGAACTTGAACATTGGCTCCCACACCATGCCGGTGATTCAAAGTTGATCTTTAATTCTGTCAGTACAGCTTTGTTCAATCTTGGAAACAGCAATTGCCTTTGAGCTGGAGGGGGGCAACTTAATATGTTCAACAAAACCTTTCATTTTGCTACCAGGACACAGCAAAATTTGTGGATCAATCACTCAACATGCCTTGACTTCACAGGATCCCTAATCTGGCAATTTTAGTTCACACAGGTAAATTGGAGACAAATGGCAAACATTGTAACTTGATATCCATGATGGCAGTATGCTGAGCCTACAGCAACTATGCTGCAGCATGTTTTACGAGTAAACCCCTCCACAGTCCCATCTGGCCAAAGGAAAGTGGTCACTTTTTTAAACTGGATGGCTGCTGGCATGGCAGGCCCACTGCATGCAAAACAAGCTACACTCAGTAGGTACCCTGTGCCCAAAAACCAAATTTGAAAAACATTCTGAATGAATAAAAAAATAGGGTTCAAAAACTATCTCTGGGAATGGACATTGTTTGCACATGCCCTACAACTTACATCAACACACATTTTGGTAGATATAATCTCAAAACTTCCCACTGTATCCAGCTGGACACAAACAGCTATTTCGTACAAAATGTAACAATTTCTCTTTGTTTTCCTAGCAAAGGACTGGTAAGCATAAACTTGTGGTGCAACTTTCATCAGCAAATCCCAGTCATTACCACCATGCTTCATGATCATACTGCTCCCCAGCATCGCCAACAAAAACAAGAAACCATGCACTGAGTGCAGCCCACATTTGCCATGGACTCAGAGCTGAGTCAGACTTACATTGGCAGGGTTGTAGATGAGCATGTGACCAAGGCGAATGATGGCCGGTTCATCTGGCCAGATGGAGATCTTGTTGCTTTCCCGTGAGTTGCCTCCTGAGCACATGTCCAGGTTGGTTTCCAGGTCGACTGAAACACAACCATGTGTGTGCCAGAGTTGCCATATGAAAACAAGTCATGGTATTCTTCAATTAGTTCACATCCTTTGTGAGAATAAGAAAAATTAACACAGTGAGCACTTACTGTACAGTACACAACAGATGCAATCAGCTAATATCAGAATCGCTCCCATAAAAAGTAACCCAAATGATGCATTCAGTACCAAATCAGTGCTGGGCAAAATTGGTATCATCAAGGTGATAGCTAATGCCAATGGTGCTTGCAATCCTATTTGGTGGGTTGCTCATCGTTTTCATGAAACTACAGCCCATAGATAGTCATGAACACTCCATGACTCTATATAGACCACATGACTAGCCAGTGTAACATAATATAATGTAACATAATGTAACATAATAACCACAAAACACAGGGAAATAGTTACCACCTTAGACCTTCAAAAGTACCTACCTATCTTATATTTGAAGGAAGACTTTATTGATCCACAGTAGGATGGCCAAAACAGAACTACAACCGCTATGGTGCTGAGCACTGATATTTTAGATATCATTACTGGGCCTGCTGGAAGCAATATTAAAAATTAATGCTTAAATACTACATGTCTTGCAGTCAGCTTCAGGTATGTGATTCGATAGCCACACAGCTTGAAAACACACCAGCTCATCCGTCCACAAATTTCATTTCCACAGGATCACAGGGCAAGCTGTGTACAAGCTCCTACGTGCTGATAATCCACTGATCCTCAAACTTGGGCTTCGGATGAAGCCGAGCACATCAGAGCAAATGGAGCGAAACTACGTTCCAACAGCGCCCCGTGCGGCCAGCCACGCAGACACAGGCCCGCAATGGCCAGTCTCCACGCGCGACAACTTTCAACGCGAGCAGCGTGCCCCAACCACACAAACGTCAATCCGCTATTGAGTATATCGCGACCACCACCCGCAAGCGTCCAGTGATGCACTGAGGCCGAACCGACCAATCAGAGTGCTGAGTGGTTGGGAAACACAAATGACGTCAAAGAATGAGTCATTCGCGGGAACAACCTGAGAGACCTACGCTGACCGGACTTACGCCCAGGAGAATTACGCTCAATGGATCTGCGCCCAGAAGACCCATGCTTACGAAGCCTACGCTCACTGGAACTACGCCAACGAAGCCTACACTCACTGAACCTTTGCCCAGGAGACCAACACTCACTGCACTTACCCGTCCTACAATGTCGGCAGTCTCAAATAAGCGAGTCACTCCCGTTGCCACCTATCACGGCTGTCGATTTGCATTGCGTTGGGAGGGCCCTGGCTCCTTCAATGTTAAGTTGGGCCCTCCAATGTTGGTTTGCCCCCTAAATGTTTTTGGCTTGAATACTACAAAAGACGCGGGTAAAAGATGGTCGTAACACAAAGACTATCCTCTTTGATCTTTCTGAGTAGTGGTGTCTCGTACCACTCTCATAGCAAAAAGTCATGGTTGCTCTTACCACAAGACACAAATCGTAACAGCTGAGCGGATAAACGATGCAGTAAACTTCATGTACCTAGCGCCGTAAGACACGCTACGGTTTGTGAGGTTTGCATAGTTAAGGCAGTAATTTTAGCTTTATTCCTAAAAAAACAGAAAAATGGAGATATGGTCTGGTTGACATTTCGGCAACATGCCTTTATCGAATTCACTTCTGCTTTTGTTTCGATAAAGACATGTTGCCGAAATATCAACCAAACTATACCTCCATTGTCCTGTTTTTTTTTCGAGGAATAAGGCTAATATTACTGTCTCATCTATGTGAATAATGTTCCTCGATAATGCACTGAACAACTTACGTGCGTTTGTGAGGCTTAAGTAAAAAGCCCTGGAATATGAGGATGACCTAAGTCCTTCATGGCTAACCTCGTTCGCGTCCCTCTCAGCCAAAATGCATGCCGACCCCCTATGACCACCATAGAAGAGCGCCATCGGTGCCTCAAGGTGGCCTCTAAAGGGGCGCCTTCACGTGCCTATCAGAAGAGACGCGTGCGCCCACTGCACACTCCCTGGATCCAACGGATGCGTATTGAAACGTCCAGAGTTCAGAAAGTCCAGTGGTCAAAAAGTCCAGAATCGCAGCATCTAGCGTTCATAACATCCACAAAACGTCCCAAACCCGTGGACACAGGAGAACCATAAAGTCCAGTGTTTATAAAGTCCGGTGTTCGTAAAGTCCAGCGCTCATGAAGTCCAGTTTCATAAAGTCCAGAGTGCGTGAGATCAACGGTTCGGGATACTGTCCCACTTCCTCGCAACCCTTCACATAATGGTTCGGATATTGCCCGATAAAGGACTACCGGAGCCGATTTCGCCCGCCTCAGTCGACGAGTGACGTGCTGTAAAGTGCTGCCCAGTTAAACCACTATGCATGGATATGGACAACGTTTCGTTTGAGCGCACAAACTGCCACGTCAGCACGCCCATAGCAGGAGGTGCATTAAACACTTCAAAACTTAGATCCATGGCTCGTGGCGTCGGAAACAGCTGGTTGCTCCGCAGTAGGTGCAGGACAATCGTGGAAATCACTTGTCGGGTTAGCTGCTGTTTGGTATTATGTGCTATGGATAAGATATCCTTCGAGGTATGTGGTTCCGTTATTTACTGTATGTGTTAGTGATGTTTCTCATTTTTTGAGGGAATTGATGACTGATGTGTAAGGCTGACTGGTTTGATGTCTGCTCCAGGTAGGCGCGCATGCAGATCTCCGGCTCCTGACACGCTAACCTATATTGTTAGTGGTTTTATTTGAGTGATTCCCCTCCCTCCTCCAGTTACAGAAGTATTTCACACGCTCTTGCAAACGGGACGTATTTTGAATTTTGCATGCCTTTACTCTCAACGAGAGGGGGTGGGGGTTGTCTCATCAGCTGAATGCGGACACTACTGCTTGGTGAGACGCGTTCAATGGCCCAGCCTACAAACAATTCGTTTCTTCGATTAAGTACGTTTTAAACGGGCGTGGCTTACCAAAATAAGTAGGTTGGCTGAGGGATGAAAATACAACGAATAGTACCGTGAAAATATGCAACAAATTGGTTTCTCTCCAAATTTGGCATACTTTCTCACAAATATGCGGGCTGCAACCCAAGTTACGGCGGGGATCAAAGCCCTGCAACTGAAAAGAGAACCGCACTCCTGGTTGCAAGTAAGCAAAGGTTACAAGGTTACAAGCAAATAGGAAGTAAAGAAGCAAACGTTGACCTGCGAATGTATTCAAATGCCTGCCAAACGTCACACCAAACATAACACACGTTCCGCGCTTAAAGGCGCTGTTGATTCACCATCTGAAAAGCGGAGCCGAGCGTATGTCACTGAGCTGGTTTGCGATTATAAGCCCGCATAAATTGGAAGAATAGTGAGTTTGTATTCGCTATCCAGTTCATCAAACTTGACGCGCTTTCTTCCTTTTACGCTTCAGAACCTCCTAAGTATAGAATTTGGGGTCCAGCAACACCAGTCTGGAGTTTATTGAGACGGGTGCAGTCTGTGCCGCAGAGGGACGATGGTGGCATGGTGGTTAGTGGTAAGGGGGTGCATCTGTGGCCTTTTGTATCCTGGGATGGAGTCCTGGCCACACCTCTACCGCATCCCACGTACCTAATGGCTGATAAATGCGTAATAGAGGCGATCCGCCTCGACATAGCCATAGCAACCGGTGAGGCGTAAACCCCCAATCGGTATTATAGCCCGTCTGACAAACAAACCGCAGCCCGCCAAATTCGCAGGACAGTGCTTCCGCTCAATCATTGTGCATATGTGGGAATGATAATGTGCAATCGGTTGGACGCGGAGCTCGGACACACAGGCCAGCCCAGAGGCTGCCCAGCTCGACGGTCCGGCCGGCAGCCACGCCCGCGGCGGGCCGGCGGACGAGGCAGCCCGGCCGCCAAACAAAGAACGCATTCATGCGCGTGCTGTCCCGCGCCCGAGAACCAAACCCCGCCACACGCGCGCAAGGCCCGTCCGCGGTCAAAACATTGCCAGTTCAGTCGGGCACGCCGCCATCTTCGCGTCAGAGCCCGAGGCCCCTGACTCGGTTTCACCCGGTTCGCCGCGGTACACATCGCGGCGGACCGGACATCCCGACGTGTTGGGCATCTCGGTATCTCGCTCGTGCTGGACCGGAGCCGCCCCTTCCCCTTCTCCTCCTTCCTGACGGGCGCCTTAATGGACGAGCCTCGTGTCAGTCAGGAACCAGCACCGGACAGCGTCCCTCTGCCCGTTTTCTCCTGGGCCCAAATGCGTCGAACTGGGATCCCTGTGCTATTTATTAAACCCGCTACTCTTGGGACCTTTTTGAAACGGTGAGTGACCCCGCGTTGATCCAAGGTCAACCATCCCGGTCAGAGGGCCTTCGGCGTCAGAGAGAGGACCAATGTATCATGTGTAGTAATATTAACCGATTGGAAATCTGAACTGGGACGGAAAGGTCCTTCAGCCCCAATCGAGAAACGTATGGGGGGCCCAAATTTTGACCGAAAACTCTATTGGGGTCTGGCTGTTGAAGGGTGGGGGGGGGGGGGGGGTGGGAGAAGGGCGAGGGTTTCAGGAACCCCTTGGGAGGAGCTCTTTTCGGAACCATGAAGTTAAGAAAATACCGTAATGAATGAGAAGAACAAAAAATATTGCCAAATACAAATTCTGATAATACCGTTGCAAGGTGTGGCAGTTCAAGAAGCCCTCTCTGATTAACTCGTGGACCCTCTCTGGCCGCTCAGTCGAGACACGCGGTTAAGTCATGCATCAAATTTCGCGCCAGGTAGTGGTCCAGAATCGGCCAAGTCAAAAGGCCATTATAGGTTTAGTCGATCGGATTTGTTATCGAAAATTAACTTCAGTGCGTGTCCCCGTTCACTAACGACAGTCTCATGGCAGGGCAACACGAATGCACCTTCAGAAATACTTGCCTCAAAAACACTGCCACGCCAAATGCTCACATGCAACATACATGTTTTCGTGATTGACGGTGACAAGTTATTTAGATGAGTCTTTCGGTGAAAATGACGGCATATCGTGCCATTTTCTGTTTCTTGTGAAGATTGTCTACCATCCGGAGTATCTGGCCAAATTATGACCAGAGTGACATAACGGGAGAGCTTTGTCACCCACAGATCGGAGTGCGAAAGTGTGGATTCATGTAATGTTACGGTCAGGAAATATGTGACTGATAGTAATATCCCTTCTGCATGTGCGTTGTACGCATGCTTAAGTACCTATGCTCGCTGATGTCTTAGCCATCGCCCTGATTCGCCGTTTTGCATAACTCGGACTGATAGGGGCAAAGGGGGTTGATACGACCCTCGCCCGGCGTTTCCATGCTGATAAAGATAGAGCTTGCCAAGGACAGCAGTGTATTGTTCTGGGCATGATCTCACGATTGGTATTGGTTTTTATGTTGTTGACAGGTCAAAGGTCAAATTTTACAGAATACCGCACTTCGTAGCTTTATTTTATGTTTACGGGAACAAGCCTTGCAGTGACACGAACCTTAAATTGGCGTGTGTCTTCTTCAATTCTGAGTACATTCTGTAGTGCGATTATTTTGCCGCCTGCCGCCTGAGCAAGCCATAGATCGCCGTCGAGTGCTCATCACAAACTGCCGCTGGTCTGAAACCAGAAATTCTAGGAACACGCCTTGGTATGAAAACAAGTACCATAATCACCGCCTATCATGGCGAGGGTTAAACGTCATGTTATTGCTGCGTTGGGTATCGGTAGCGATTTTTCGTGAAACAACATTCCTCATTTTGCTAATAACTGAAGCCGTAGCGAACAAAACAGGAAAAAGACACTGTTTGCTTACTTCCGTAACAGTTTGTTCCTAGCTTGACCTCACGCTGACCCCGTCCCAAAAGACCAAGTCTCTCGCAACAAGTTGTGCTTTGTCCATGGGCTGGCGCCGATAGGCT